CAATTGAAAAAACACACGTTTTGACTCTTAAGCATGAAAGACACATTCAGGATAAGCAGCTGACAAGAGAGGAACGTGAAAACGATAGGAAAAATATTCACCCTGATGAGATGGTTATTTGCTTTGATATGGAAAACGTTTTAACATGTCCAAAAAGTAATGTATCAATTTTTTTCTATAAACGTAAGCTCAATGTTTTTAATATGACTGGTCACTGCTCTCTAGACAAAGTTGGATATAATGTTATATGGAATGAACAAGTCGCTGGACGAGGATCTAATGAAATTGCTAGTGCTGTAACAGTTATTTTAGAAAACGCTTTGAAGGCTCATCCTCATGTTAAGAAAATAACGTTGTGGTCTGATAGTTGTGTACCACAAAACCGGAACAGCATGATGACCACTGCTTTAAAACTATTTCAACAAAATAATCCTGAAGTGGTTGAAATTGTTCAGAAATTTTGTACTCCTGGGCATTCCAGTATTCAGGAAATTGATAACATTCACTCACATATAGAGAAAAAGCTGAAAGTTTAAGAAATTTACAGTACTAGTCCTCTAAGTCTAATTAGGAAACTTAAGCAAGTCCGTCCGGATAAAACCGTAATCATACAACTAAAAAATGAAGTGATTTTTGACTATCGAGCGGTTGCAGAGAAATTCACATTTAACTCTGTCCCATTTACAAGAGTTAAAGCATTGAAATAAGTGAACTGATTGCCGTTTCAAGTGTTTTTTAAAGAGTCATTTGATGTTCAGTACACAGAGGCGACAATTCTAAGGACAACAAGGTTATCTTGTAAAGCAGACCTACTTCCTTTGCCTAAAATTCTAAAATGTGGAAAGGGTTTGTCTGATGACAAGAAAAAAAGATATAGAAACCATGCTACGATTTATGCCGACAGAGGATCGCATGTTCATGAAAAGTCTGTGCAAAATATAAACCTTTATAAGTGCAAGTGTTATAGTATTACGCAAATAGACATCATAGGAATTTGATCATATTATTATTCTATAAGACAATTTATCAAATACTCATATACAGGAGATTAATATTATGTTTGAGAATTTACTAAATTCAATGTTATGATGAGACATTGGAATATATTTTCTTTTTTGATTCATGTTATTGTTGCATTTATGTTTAAAACTGCAAGCAACATGAATAGCTGATGTACTTTTAATATTAATGACTACTACATTGCAGATTTTTTCTTACATTGTTAAAGAAAGTTAATAACATTTTAATAATGTTAACCTTAGTCCATTGAAAAAAATGTTAGATAATAGAAAATTCAAATCTTTCATGAATTTTTTTTCACGGTATGACGAGACGCTGTTCTATGGTTTTTGTTTAATACAGACATTTTACATTAATGTCAGTTGTATAATTATGTTAATACATTGAGATTTTGCAAAGAAACATGCTGTATATGCAAATATAAAGACAGTTTTATACCTTTTATATGATTTATATCTATATTTGTCTATAATTAAGATATGTTTCTTTGTTACGCAACTTACGATCAGTATTTATGTTTAAGATATCAATTTCTATTTGTCATGACAAGAAGTCATATTTATTCATGTTACAAAAGTTATGATAAAGTTAGATAAACAGTTATAAATTGTTTAATTTGTTGTGACTAAATATCTGGGGACCAATATCATAAAGTCTTAACACTTTAGGTTCGATGCATTACGTTACGTTTAGGCCGGTTTTCTGAATTTATTTTCCCAATACTTATTTAGCAAGTTTTATACTATTACATGTATTATAAAAAGAAACATCCAGTCGCTCATTTGCGTTTAAAAATTATTGCGAAGGCTTGATATGATTTTAAATAAAATCTAATTGCACATACGGACAAGCATAATAAGTGCATTGTAAAGGTTAAAACAGCCTGTGAATGTAATATTTTTTACCATTAAAGTATCGTATCTCTGGCTCCTTCATTTTATTTTGGTATTACTTTGCTCTATCTCCAATGACGCACTTTTAGAGTGACTTTTTAAGAAATATTTTGACATTTTGCTCTATCTCAAATATTTTTTTTTCATATTTACTCTCAGTCTTTCTCCAGAAAGAAAAATAAACGCCTTTTGTGCGCATTAAGATCCTAAATATACATGTGGGATAATTTTCAATTCAGTGGGGTCACGTGGAAAAAAATAGTTAGATGCAAAATGTTTAAAGTCGTTTTTCTCAAAATAGCATTTTGGCAGTTAGGACATTTTAAAAGTAAGCCGACGACATGCCCGTGCCGCTTTTGCGTCTTCGTAAATAGTATTACACGATCGTGCATATATTTTGAGGTGACGTCATTTTCATTATGCAAACTGAGCGTAAAGACGCGTCACACTGTAATCGAGTCAATGAAAAAGTGATTTAATTTTACTGTTAACACTTCTATTTTGGATATGTAATAAATAAAATATTATATTCGTGTAGCTTCATTACTGAATTAATTGAACCCGTTCAATAAAATAATATTATGTTTGTCAACGAGCTCACCAGAGCTCGCAAAATCTATCTTTATTCAACGAGTTCAATTAATTTAGTATTGAACCTATATTTATTCAATATCCTCTATATGTTGTTATTTCATGCTAGTGTCACTTTGTGAAAAAATATCTATTTAAAGATTTCTAATGTGAGTAGATTATCTATTGTCAATAATAGCTTGACAATTCTCTCCTGCAATTGATTATAGACATGTTCAAGCTTCTGACAAAGTTACTGACAGTCAACCGCACTGAACATAATGTGTATAAAAGCAGCAGTGTATTGTTACTAATATACTAATTTTTCAATAAAATTACGCATGGTAATATTTTAGATTTCTTTCAGGGAGAAGACTGTAAATTGGTAAATTGAGGGAAACATATGATACTTCACGTGTAACAAAGGGTTGTTATTATTTGAAAACTCTGACACGCACATGAAATCATGGGAACACTAAGTGGCATTGACGCAAGTTAATAACGAATTATTTACACCGACGACAGACTATAAAAGGAACAACTATCTTAAAATCGGAAATCATCAGTAGAGCATACATCTGGAATTATATTTTGAAATGGGGTTAGATGTGCAGTTTTGATTAACAAAACACTTTTAACAGTAGAATACACTTTTATTATATAGATGACATATTTCCCGATAAGAAACACAAATATAATTTTAAAATAACTTTGGCCAATCGGAACAGACAAATTGTGGGCTTCTCTATACCCTTATTTTAGCTGTATGAATTTGTAATCGTAATGTACATGTATATTCAAAAGTACAGGAGGCGCAGGTACAGAGGGGGTTGGGGTTAATAAATTTCGTTCTAAATGTCTTTTTTAAAGTTCATCCCCTTCCTGGTTGTTAATCATTGATTTTAACAGGTTCTTTCCGTTTAAATTACAAAAGGCGTTGTGCTTTGTTTTAATGAAAAGAGAGCCATCCGGATAGCTCAGTAGGTAGAGCGTTTGACTGTGAATCGAGCGACTCAGGTTCGATTCCGGACTGTTCAGGTCACTTTCGTTGTGGTTGATCATGAAATCTTTCCTATAGTCATTCGCATTGTACCTCTGCCCTGGCATGTACAGAAGTTCCAGTTCCTTGCGAATATTGAGGCAACTTATACTGGTAAACAGTTTGACAGTCTGCCCAGAAACGATACGGTGGCTGAGCTGTACTCTGGTAAATGTGGCTAACTGCTGTGATCCGGAGTGAACACTACGACCACTGAATAGTTTCAATATGGTCCTATAATAAAAGAGTTACTGTACTAAGATATTGGTGAACATTTCTTGCTTAAGGCATGCGTCCAGCATTAGCCATGATCATAGACTTTTACATTTACCTCAATAATTATCATAAAACATGATAAATATATAACATGACTATATACTGTATTTAAATCTAAAGTCTATTGTTTTGATATTTCAAAAGCACGCAGATTGTCTCCTTTTTTTAAGTCTACATTTCTACCTATCGATGTTAAAGGTATACAATTGATATTAGTATTCATTAAATTCATTTATGGTATGCATATTAATTGTGGCTTTTCAGTGAACCTATTAAAAGAAAACAATAGAAAATATACAAAAATTATAAGCCGAAGGGAATTTCTATCTCATTTATATACAAGATAAATGTCGATATGATCGTAAAGCCGTCAGAACATCACAAGGTAGCGGTAAACGTACAGGCCAGTATTCTCATTAGCCACATGTTTTAAACACGAAAACAAACTTTTGCTTCATTTAAGCTAAATTATTCACGTTAACGGCTAAGTCTGCATTTATTGTGTATCGTATTTTAATCATACATTCTGATCGTAACAGTCGGAAGTTTATACATTTGGATTTAACGCACATTACAAGTTGAAATACAAGAACATCTCATTATGTCTGTTGAGGTGATAAGGTGTACAGGTCAATGAGTTGTCACGTTATACAACTAACACGGATATATCTATATAAAAAATAATCTCAGGATCTCAACTTATGTACCTTAATAGTGAGACTTACTGTATATATTATCATTTGACAGTACCAGTTAGTGAATGTTGAAGTATTTTACGTGATTACTTTCATATAGAACGTTATCAGTGTGTTAAGTAATAGAAAGAGCACCGAAACACGAGGCTATCTGATTTGTACGAGGGGGCGTAGCCCCCGAGTATTAATCAGATTGCCGAGTGTTTTGGTGTTCTTTCTCTTTTGTATCATAGTCAAACATAAAAGCACGTTCCCTGTTGTCACAATATGAAACCCCGGCAAAAATGAACCAATGAACGAACATCTGAATATGACATTTCTGTCGCTTTCCCTTTCTCTGCCGTCACAATATGTAAACCCCAGCAAAAATGAGCCAATCAATGGGCATGTTCTGGAGTGCGGGTAACTAATACCCGCACTCCAGTTAACGCACTGTGCATGTATATGTATACGATTTAACCCTGACACATTTTCAACAGAAAGGTCTCCAAACTATGATACAATGTATCTAATATGTATACGAGTATATAAGGTAATTGACGAACGGTCGGAGTAATCTAATTCTTTCGTTACATTCGAGCCCTTAAGGGTGACAGTAAAATTCAAATTTGTTTGATACAATGGAAAATATTTAACATTTATTTTGGTGAAATATTTAACAAGTAAATTTTTTTAATTGTTTAATTTCACGTTGTTTATAGAGGTGGTCAGCAATAAAAAAGAACATAGAAAATACGCAAAATATTGACTGTCAACTGATACTTTATAATAACAAATACAACAAGGACTTATTATTAGTTATTTTAAATACGACAATAACTGGATAAATTAATGATTATATCGCTGAAACATCCACCAAAATGGTAGGTATGATAAATGATATTGTTAATTTTTTCAAACTAAGAGGAAAAAAAGTTTTGTTTTACTTTCACAAACTGGAATATTTAAAAGAAGTTTTTTTTGTGCAGCAATTGTAATATTTTTTATTTGAATTTCACCACCTTCCCGTCACATGAATATATAATATAAAACTTCAAAATAACGAAAAGTTAAATAACAGAACAAACTTGTAACTTTTTTTTCAATAAATAAACGGTTGTGAAGAATATATGAATTGTATACTAGTTTTAAATAAGAAAAATTCATTATAGTTCAATGTATATTGTTTGACACAGAATGAAGAAGTGTTTGTTTATTGTAACTATTATTATATTTCTATGCATACTATATTATGTGATGTTTCTTTCCTGTTTTGTTTATTCGCAGATATCCATTGAAAAATGTCTTTTATCCTTTGTTTAAAACAATTTTCTTCAGAATTCCAAGAATGTTTATTAGGATGAACTTAAATTTAATTATAATCATTTGTGTCTTTTTTCTTTGCTTTTTAAGATGTTATCACAATAATATTGTTTTTGTAATACTTGTGTGAGATACTGTATTGTATATGTTACAGAAACAAGCTATTTTTACCATTTACCATTTACCATAACACGTAGAAGTATTTAGAAGCGCAAAAGAATTAAGGAAAAACAAAGGCGAAAAACGTATCACAGTTGAATAGAGTTGGATGCCCGTGTAGCATCAATACTTTACATTAATCTCATTGTACTTTGGTAACAGCCATAACAAAAGCGATAATTTATATAATTTCTTTTAAAAAATAAGTTTTAGCACTAAATATTTCTAATTCGTTGTCTATAAAACGGTTTTAGGACTAAATAAAAAGATATATTCTCATAACTAAGTTTCAGACCGTGGCAAGAAACGTTTTTAGTTGGGGAACAAGCTCAAATGTAATTAAAATGCAAACCAATCGCGGGGAACAAAATGTGTTTTGTTTAATATTAAGTTTTGCAGAAACAAATGCATAGCTTAATGCGAAACGATATGCTTGCAGCCGTTATATCATGCGTAAAGTACAAGGCTAGCATCTGACGTTTATATTCTACAATTCACATTAAAGTATCGTAAAACGTGACCTTGCCCGATTTGTTTTTTTGTAAATAACGCTTCTGTTTATCAATGAATGCAATGTTATGCAAAGGTTTTCAGCAGAACATCCTTTGATAACAATTATTTCAATTCGGAAAGAAGAATAAAGTATCAGCAGACGACAAGTTTGAGTCTAATTAAACCATCAGAAAACATCATATACAGGATAATTAATGACTGATGTGTTACCTTCCCTTTAAAAAATTTAAATCCAACTTTTACATGCATTATTTTTTGCCTTAAATTTGTCAGCGTGCACACTTTTCATGACAATGAATTAGCATATGTAATCCAACTTTCTATTGTAAGAAAACAGGAAGTGTGCTACAACAATACGCTTTGTTTGATTGTGCAAGTATTCTATTTCTAATTCACCATCAGATCACGTTATAAGATTTAAAAGTACAACTACGCAACGCACTGAACCATTTGACACTGGGTGATAATGAACGCTAAATGATGTAATAACACAACTTTCTATCGTTGACATCATTATTATTGCTATGACAATACGTGGATACAGAATGGGTAATAACTGTATTTACGGTTACGTCAAAAGCACTATCGAAATACATTTTTACAGTATAGCTCGTAACAGTTTATATCAGTTTATATCAGAATTACCTTTGAATAAAATCATAACATTTTTGATTTATCTATGAAAACAACATTATTGTTTGCGATCACTACTTATTAAATAAAGGACTTTTTCCATTTGACGGATATATCTTGTCATGTTTAAGCTAGATATGGAGGTACTATTACTTTATATATAACGACTTTGATAAATTTGATAAGTTACACAAATTTGATACTATTTCTACATGCATGCACAAGAAATCTGGAAAAAGAAAAACGATTAAGCAGAAAATATAATATGTAATACATAGTTGCGCATATATTTATTGGACTAAAACATTTAACTTGAAATGATTTTATCTAGCAGATGATATGTTTGGAACTAGAAACATTCTTATCTTTGAGAGGCGAATATCTTGTTGCGTTTTTTTAAATTTTATCGTAATAACTTTGTACTTTTATACATGAGTTTTTGAATGGTTTGCTATGATTATAAGTATCTTATTTTTTCAGAGCGTAAATCATCTCTTCATGATGGTGTTTATAGTTGTTCTGTCACATCTTTGTCTGGCAGTAAACAACAAACTTCAACATAAACAAGAAAAACAAGGCTGTGAATGGGGGTGTAGCTCGGACATTGATGAGAAGCTTAGATCATGTGAAGATTTATGTGAACTAAGGAACAGTCGGAATAAAAATGGCGAAGTCGTTTGTCAGAGCAATTGTGCTTCTATTTATGTCAGTTGTTTTGAAGAGTGCCAAAGAGGTTCTCAATTGTATAAGAATCCTGCATGAAACTAGAGTTAACATCAGTTAATGTTGTAAATATGTAAAATTCGGACGGGAATCTCAAGTCAAATGTGCCTTGTAAAATATACTGCGGTAGCAAACATAATGTTACAAACAATAAAATTGATATTGGCCATGTCATGTCATACTATCCAGGAAATGGACATGGACCTCAGATTCAAAAGTTGAAGAAGGACTCTGAACAAGTAGTTTCATATGTATTTTTATATGATGATCTGAACAATTTGAAATCTGTTTTATTTAGATATAATACAATTTCCATAACTGTGAAATAAATTTCAATGTGTTCGTTAAAGAAAATCACAGATAAGTAAGACATGGAATACAGTTACCATTGCTTTGCTAACATTATTTGCTCAGTGTCTGGTAGCAAAGTCATATCATTGATTATGTTCTATCATTGTCTTATATGTTTAGTTTAATTAAAAAAATGTGCATTATTGTCATAGTGTTACTATTATCAAATTTCTTAGCTTTGTACTACTACGTTATTATTTTTTTTTCAATATAACCATATTGACAAATATGTCTTGATAAAAACGCCCTTATGTACGAACTGAGAAAAAGAAATGTTTTTCTGTCATATGTAAAGATTTTGAAATGACTGAACCCACAACATATTCATTACTTTATCTAATTTTTCTATGTTGTGTTCTGTTGCGTACATAAGACATAAGCATAACGTGTTCACTGGATGTAATTGGCTTGTAATTACAGTGTTGCCGTTAGAAGCAATACATGCTAGAATTTGATAGCAAAACAAGCACTGATCATGGTCTGAACAAAAATCATAAAAGTGATATTATTCAAACATTATGTAATGAAAATAATGCTAAATACATACAAATGTTCAATTCAGCAGATTTACAACTACGGCCTATTGTTGCTGGACCTCATTGTAAAAGTAGTCATTTTGTTGTCCTCTTGATATTTTAATTAAACTTTTCTTATCATAAAAGATGACATGATTCCCTAAGATTTATTCCGATATCTGAATGTGCACGAATGGCTTCATTTGATATTGTTTGTCTTTATATAAATATTCCTCATGATTTCGCCATAAAAGTTAATTCTTTAGGTTTGATAAACACCCATATTATTTTAGAGAACAATATATATATTTTGTATTTAAATGTTAATTATGTAAGCAAGCTAAAGGTATAGTCATGGGTATAAAATATGCGCCAATATTTATGCTTCTCTAGTTACTGGCTTTCTTGATAAACTACTGACAGAGAAAATAAAAGATACATGTATATTAAAGATGATAACTGTACTACTTATATAAGGGGCCCATGTAAAAGGTATCAGAATGTCTGCTTTATATTTCAGCTTAAATCATATGTTTGCAGGTGAAATTTGAGCCGCACCATGACAAAACCAACATAATGAGTTTGGGACCAGCATGGATCCAGACCAGCCTGCGCATCCGCGCAGTCTGATCAGGATCCATGCTGTTCGCTTACAAACCCTATAACAAGTAGAAACTGATAGCGAACAGCATGGATCCTGATCAGACTGTGCGGATGCGCAGGTTGGTCTGGAACCATGCTGGTCGCAGACCCATTATGTTGGTTTTGTCATGACACGGCTCATTTATTTCTGTATATAAAGTTCCCAAAGGACAGATATCACTTTCTTAAATATCATGACTATTAAACAAAGCACACCAATTTTAACAGACATTTACTTTACGGACTCTGAATATAAGCAATATTTAGACTACAAATATTGTCACCATAAGCACACAAAAACAAATATTTCTATTTGCTTAGCATTTACGTTATGTGCAATAGTGTTAGATCATGCTAACCTTATATTTCAGTTGAAGGAGCTTGCAGGTATTCTTATTAAAGAAAATATCCTTTAAAGATCATAAAAGCATTGCATTTGTTTTTGGTAAACATCAATGAACGTTACAATAAAACTATCTAACATACATTTTTACACATAATTCAATGAATAGGGAAGTTTTTTTGAATGCTTAAGAATAATTTTAAAATTTTAAATAGCGATCACGATCTAAGGAGAATTATAAACAAAACAGAAATAATAAAGTGTAAATGCCTGCTCTCTCATTCAAAACTTTTGCTGATTAAGTCTAAATTTAAAGGAAACAATTTTTTTTCTTATTTATACAAATGCGACATTCCCCGATGTGGTATATGTGATTCAATATTAAAAGGCGATATATTTACAACTAAACAAAACAAAAAAAAAAACGTTTAGATAACCATGGAGGTGTACTTGTTTATGTTAAAAACCACCTTCCAGCTCACAGAAGAACGGACTTAGGAATTCAGGGGGTAGAAAGTATATGGATTGAACTTCTCCTTAAAAAAATCCTTTTTGGCACATTTTACAGACCGCCAAACTCTTCTTCACTTGTTATGACAAATATTGAGAATTCTATAGGGTTAGCATTTGATACTTATATTGATAATATATTGATCACGGGTGACTTAAATTTAGATATGCTTAAGTCTTCAATTTTTTAATTCGGCAAACGTGGGATTTTCCCAGCTAATCTGTAGGTACAAACTAACTTTTACCGTTATAGTTTCAAGGTGCTCTACCTGTCACAATAGATAAGTCAACCTATTTTGCTTATTTTAGAAGCTGTTACTGTAAAAGTTTGTTTGTATCTACGTTGTTAGCTGGACAAATCAAAATATTAAGTTAGTCTATTGAATATATTCTGTCTGTATTTTTATTATGAAATGGTTGCAGTGAATATTTACATTGGTCAAACAGATAAACTAAGAAAATGTAATACGAAAATCATGGAGATCCATCGATAAGACAAATTCCTCTAAGTAAACATTTAGATACTTTTTGTGACAGTTCTCCTAAATTTTCCGTATTTCCGTTCTATAAAATTCTTAAAACTGGTGTATCTTCTAGGTCATCAAAAGATCTTGCTACGTCTCAAACACATGTGCACGTAAATAATGAGAATTGACATTGCAAACAGGTAACTGGTAATTTGCCCTTATGATTTACAGAAAACGGTTGGCAATATATTAAAATGAGAAATGTCAATTAATTCATGTGACTTTTAAATTAAAAAACAAAATATTCCGAAATACATAAGAATGAAAATTAATTTCTTTAAAGTTGCATGACGTTTAATTGACGCCAAAAGAACAATTGATAATACAAGATCATGACATAAAATCCTGAAAATTTGAAGACATTTATTGATCAATGATTCAAACCATAGCATCTTGATAAATGAAAATTTGCATGCTGATGTTAGATAGTTTTGACGTCGACAGGTGACTGTGACGAAATTCTGTAGCAAGGACAGAAACCCTGAAATAATAAAATCATTATGTAAGTATAATAAACGAAGTACAGGTATCGTGTACTCACGTTTTAGTGACAGAAGAGAATCAATCAATGATTACTGTATTTATGACACGAGCCATTTTCGTACAGAACCATCAATCACAAGGAGTACAATTGTCAATGATTAATCATTCAAATGATTTATATTATAAGAATCTTACACCGGCTGCCGGTACAGACCGAACTATAATGGAGGGGAACTGTTCACGGCGGTAGTATGCGTAATGGTGATTCCGCAATATTCAAACAGGAATATTTGATCCATCCACAAAGTATGATGAAACAAAAAAAATAAAACGAAAAACAAACAAACAACAACAACACATACACAAAAAGAAAAGAAAATCCAAAGAAACTCCACCGGCACAAGAACAAAACAAATATTAATTTAAAATTTTGAGAATATCGTTTGTAAATTCTATAAATATGCCTTCGTGTCAAGCCTAAACAAATTTTTAAATGTATCATTGGAATGACTTTGGTCTTCTATATGACACGTTTTACAAAGATGGAATTTTAATTAAAAATATCTTAAACAATTTTGAAAATTAATCATTGAATAAACATTTACTCTCGGATTTAGTCTTGTAAATGTCAACAAATGTGTGAAATGTTTAATAAAGATTAAAAATTGATAGACAATGATTCCCTACACGGAACATATAATCTTTTAAACCTTCAATATCAGTTTATTGCTTACCAAAACGTTAACGGCAAACAGTATTGGACTAACGCTGAAATATACATGAATTTATTTTATTTTTCTGAAAAAGGACTTTTGTAAAATGTTGATTGAATATGTTGTAATATTGCTTTGTTTTAATGAGGTAAAGTAAATATTGTCATTAGCATATTTTATGTTTTATTAAAAAAGACTATAAGTATTTATATGATACTTTTAAATTGAGTCTGCAATTTTCATGTAATTTTGCTGGTTATAACGCATCCGAGGAATTACTTTTTCAGATATTTATACATCACAACAGTAGGTGTCACGTGCTGTGTGGCAGCCGAAAAATGTGCCCCATACTCTGTTCAGTGTTATTTTTCTGGTCCTTCGGGATCATTGATTTTAGCATTTTAAGCGTTGAAAATTGAGTTCCGCTCAAGCCGGTATAAGGGGCGTGAGGGATGTTGCACTTATTCATTATCCCTAATGTACAGACTCATTCAAATCCAGATATTTTTAAGTAAGTAGCTGAAAGGTTGAAGTGAACTATAAATAACATAAAATGGTGTTTTAGTACATAACTTAAAAATCCTGTGCAGTGTTGAAATGATGAAAATAATATTTAAGAAAAAAAAAACAAAAAAAAAAAAAAAACAAAAAAAGAACAACAAACTCCATAAATTCCACAATTTTGGTATCAGCATAATTAACTTAAGGTTACATATTGAAAAAAATATATCAATAAAAAGAACAGGTTTTTTGTAAAATAAATGCTGCTGAAGAAGGCTGAAACGCCGAAAGATACTGCAAATTGAAATAAGCCGTTTTTTTAAAAAAAAAAAAAAAACATTCACGGCAAATTAGTGATTGCATTGATACAAAGTGTGACGTAAAGGTAAGAACTACATATTTTATATTGATTATCAGCACCAAAATTAGTCAAATATTTTTATTTATTTAAAAATAATTTTTTGTTTTTCTGTTTAGCACAATATGTATAGTTATATTTATTTTCTTCTAATCATACTGATATGTTTGATGTATCTGTATTAGATTTGGCTGCATGCAAGCACCACTACATCACACAACTATACACAATGTGGAATATACAAATGTTTGAACAATGCATTATGTACAGACAGTGGCACGGCATGTCAATGCCATCACGGATTTAAGGTTTTTATACTTGTTTTCTTATTTTCTTCATTCTGCATTCTTTTATGTAGCGATACAAACACTATTTGGTATAAAGATTGTTGACAGGTTATATGGCCCTATATAAACGGTTGTTTGCAATATAACCCTCGCCTAGCGGCTTGAGTTATATTTACAAATAGCCTTTTATATAGGGCCATATAACCTGTATAATGAATTTATAATACTGCAAGCATCATTTTTTAGAGAAAAAAGTAAGATTTCTTTATGAATCGACAACAGCTGTGTATATAAAACTATATAAACCTCACGATTATCCAATGAAAAGCGACGTTACAAACGTGCAGTATTATAATACTTCTTAAATGCGGTAATACAAAAATAGGTAAATATATGTCATGAGACACATTCACGTCAAACGTATATAACCGTAATTGTACATCGACCGATATGATGTTATCATCCGAAACCAATGACGGCTACAAATGGACAAATTGCTTGTTTATCTCAGCTATTTCGCGTTGAAATTTAAGCCTTTCACGATATTTTGAATATATAACGAGAATGACATTTATGGTGAGTTTTTGTGTCATCTACTTTAACTGCGCATTAAGAAATCAATAAATGAGATTTTAGGGATACATGGATGGTAATTTTCGCGCAAAAACCATCGGGGGCCTCAGAATGAGCAGTTACTTGCCACAAAAATATCAACATGTCGATGACTGATTATAGTAACGCAGGAATGTGAAAATATCGCGGGAATTGTGCAAAAATAACGCAGACTTGAACAATTCTATGAACACCACGTTAAGTAAATGAACCAATATATTTTATAGTACATTAAATGAAATTGATAAGCACGTACGGTTATTGAACGTGGTTTTAAGATTATTCCTGAGAAATTTGAACGTTGTCGCTATGTTTGTAAACAATAACGTATATATTACATTATTATTTCTTATATTCGGTAAACATGAAACATTTGCCATAAAACATTGAAATGCGACTGATACCGATTCAATCTGACTAAAGTTCAGATCTATTTATTTCTATTATTTAGATCTGATGACGACCATATATGTTTCGCCTTCTTTATAATTCGGATTCTCGAGAAAGCTATTTTTCGCTATGCAATGAAAGCGATTTTTACATACGCATAAGAAGAAGTATTAAAATACCGTTATCCGTGGAAGTTTAACAAATTGTTGTCTTTTTTAGAAAAAATGTTTAAAGTAATTTTTAACACTTGAAATAATAGAGACAAATTTTAATGGGCAAGCTATGTGGCTATATGGACAACGCCATGTGTTTTCTCGAAATCATGAAAAATGCATATTCAGTATTGGGTTTTCCCAGGGTTAATATTAAAAACCACATTGCTTTTAAAATTATGAAATCTCGCCGATGATTGGCTGTGGGAAAGGTCGCCAGAAATGATTTCGTATTTGGTCACGGTTAGATCTAAAAGCGGGGCGTTATTTAGAGCTAACCTTTATTAGATTGAAAACAATTTTACAAGCTAGCACCCATTTTCTGAATGATGCACCGCAGCTACGCTGGTAACTTCATAAAAGTACTGAATCATATTTTATATGCTTCATTTTACTATTATATAACACTAATAGTTTAACAAATGTCTAATATATACTGAATATCAAAACAATAAATGTACATTTACTTATTAATAAAGACGAAACACAAAAATGGCCTTCAAAACTTTAGTCATGTCATCATTCTCGGGAATGATCTCTAAATTTTTACATTTTCCTGGAAATATTAGGTTTTACTGGGTAAATATAATATCACAGCAGCTGTATTTGCTTAATTTGATTTTCTATAAGATATTTTGGTCTGTTACTTACTGGATTACTCGTTTCGGCCATAGCTTTTGCACGATTCTTGTGTTATTTTGAAATTTCTTTGTTACTGCGTAAATGGATATACATCATATAATGGTGGATTGCCATTCTGATGTTTAGTCTGAAACATTCAAAGTTCTTCAGACACAATTGTCTTAATTATGTTTCGTACTAAAAGCACTTGAGCAGTTTTACAATATAACAGCTTTATTAACATATGAATGTCATAAATAATACATATTTGCTTCTACGGCATAGATATAACATGTACTGTATAATGTCATCAGGTGAAAGTAAAAATTTAAGAAGCATATCATGTAACATATGTTGGAGTTTACTTCCTTCTAAAAATAAAGCTTGGTCTTACAAGAAATAGTTAGTATATGAGTTAACGAGCTAACCTTTAGTTGAATTATTCTCTCCTTTCATTGTTATTTTGTCTATTATATTTTACAATGACATATATATCGTAAGATTAAAGAGACATCTTCATGATTTAACTGTATATATATATTTTGCATGTATATACATGTATCACCAGTACATATACATATATAATCTGCATAAGTAAAACGTTAGCGAGGTGTGTAGGAAACAACACTATTTTACATGATAACTTACTTACTTTTTTATTACAACAGTACATCAAAGATTGTACTGGCTACTTATATTAAATATAAATAACAGTATTTATTATTATTATAAGAGTTTTTTGCAGTTGTCACTTTGTCGAGTCATGATATTTTAACTATTAAATTATGTTTCCAGGGTGATGATTGTCAGTATGATTTCGACGAATGTAAATTTGGAAATCCTTGTTACCACCGTGGCAAATGCGAAAATACATTTGGTAGTTGGCGGTAAGAACGATATGAATTGAGCATAAACTTATTTATGTTATGCTAGGGGTTTTCTTAAAATGGCGATGAGAAAGATGGATACTAGTTACCTTTGTTTCAGTATTCAATATACACGCATCATTTCTATAGTAAGTTTAATAGAATGCTTTCATTTTAAAGTTACTACAATAAACACATTATTCATCAATTGTTTAGGTGAGAAGCTTTATTGGTATTTCATTAGAAAAAATGGCCTGCAATTAACTTCAGGTATTTGTGACACTGCCAGCGTTACTGTATTATCTTATAAAATTGTGATTCTTACAGTCTTCGTTTTAAAACTAATAGTTGCATTTTTTCAGATGTTTGTGTTTGCAAGGATGGAGAAATGGTGTACACAATCATTGTGAAAATAAAACAAATCCTGACATCAACTTTCGGAAGTGTATGCCAGGATGGATGGGAGACATGTGTGAGAATCAATGTCTAAATGAGTAAGTATGAAAGATTTTAACAGATTAGTCTTTCACCAAAAATATTGTTTTTACATAGTTTATTTACTTGTTATTGCATGAACAATATTTTACTATAGGAGACGCAAAAGTGCTTAATCTGAATCATTTTCGGTCGTTTCATTTATATTAAGATAACTTATGATATATATCACTCAAGTACTTTCCTATTATTTCCATCAATTTGCTTAAGTCAAATGTGTGGGCCAAACCAAATGTGCAAGAAGAAGGGCAGAGGAAAGCTGTGTTTATGTCGAGATGAATGGAAGGGCGACAACTGTGACATAGACGTTGATGAGTGTGACACAAAGCCGTGCAAACCGTATGAAATTTGTTTAAACAGTGCAGGTTCCTATAGCTGTTCGTGCCCATCTGGTTGGCAAGGTCCAAGTTGCTCAGATGATGTCGACGAATGTTTAACTAATCCTTGTAAACATTCAGGAATGTGTATAAATACGCAAGGTGCTTACATTTGTAATTGTACATCTCACTGGACAGGCAGAAACTGTGAGGAGAATTCGATTAAAGGTTAGCTTGTATATCCATATACTAACTATTTCTCGTTGAATTTTAAAATGAAAACAAATGAAAAATTATAAATGATATAGGAAAAGATATCAATTGTGAGTTGTAGAATAATGCACGGTTCGAGTTCAAATGCGCGGGAAAATAACCACAACAGCCAAAAGAGTTAAAAATATGTTGAACTTCATTGACTTTTTTTTTTTTTTTTTTTTTTTTTTTTTTTATAAACAAAACTCATGGCCCTTAAGGGCATAAGAGTGAACAATCAACAAAACAAATAATAATAATACAAACATGGCATGAAGTAAATAAGTAAATAAGGAAGATGACTTATTGAAATTTCAGCATTATAGCTTTGACAAAAATGGCTAGATTAAATAAAGTATTTCTGTTGTCGCTACACATAAGAGCCTGAAAATTTAAAATACTAGGAAACCTTGAATAATAGTTACTGATATACCTGTGTCTTTCATGATTAAAATAAGTACATTTAAAAATATAATGAAAATTCATCACCTATTTCTTGCTGATTACAAAGTGAGCATGTTCTATTTTCTCTTTCAATACCAAAATAGCGACCTTTCTCTATAGGAATATTAGAATTGAGACATCTAAATTTACAGAGAGCAATTGCTAAATTTCTTGGTAAACATAGTAAATAATGTTCTAATTTAAATTGAGTTTTATATATTCTATAGTTTAAAACACTTAGCAGAATCAAAAACATCACTATTCCATACTTGTAAAAACTGATCACGTAATCGTGATTTTATTACATATTTAAAATTATTAAAATTTGCAACATTCTGAGTTATCCAAAAATCAGAACAACCAAGATTATTCAAAGTAGATTTTACTTTCTCGATCCACTGACAATGTAAAATACCCTTTTCATGAAGATTATACATAGTGCGGTACAAAGAAGCACATATTTTATCATTTTTACCATTAACTAATTTACTCCAAAAATTTAACATTCTGCAAGTAATATCATTTTCAATAGGAAATGCACCTAGTTCTCCCAAGACCATAACCGAAGGAGTTGACATCTTAAGTTTAAGTATATATTTATAAAATTTCAATTGAAACTGAGAAATAATAGAATTATTTTCAGATCCCCACACCTCCGACCCATACAATAATATTGGCTTAACCATACTATCAAACAACTGTAACTGAATATCAATTGGCAAACACAATTTCTTAATTTTAGTTAAAATACTAAACATAGCCTTCCTCGCTTGATCTGTCAAGTGCTTTTTTGTTTTATTAAATTTACCATTAAAGTTGAATATCACACCTAAATAACTAAAATCATCTACAGCTTCTAGAGGTGCATTATTGAAATAAAATACAGGCTTATTTCTTAATTTACCACGAGAAAATACAACAACTTTTGTCTTATCGGTATTAACAGTCAAGTGCCATAATTTACAATAATCAAGCATGCAGTTTAGTGCTGTTTGAAGGCCAGTTTGACTTTCCGCGAAAACAACTGTATCATCAGCATAGAGTAATAAGTACAACATTAAGAATACATCAACTTCATCATTACTTAACTGTTCATTTATCTGGTCTGATAAAAACTGCAACCCTTCACAATATGTAGACATATAAGAAACCAAATCATTAAGGAAAATTGAAAACAAAATTGGAGAAAGATTTTCTCCCTGACGGACACCTAAACAGCTTACAAATGTATCTGACAATGCATTATTCACTTTAACACAAGACTTAGCTTTGTCATAGATATTATGAATAACTTTAAGTATTTTCCCATCAATATTATGTGCTAACAATTTCCTCCAGAGAGCAGTACGGTTTATACTATCAAATGCTTTCTTGTAATCAATAAAAGAGCAGTACAATCTCTTTTTCTTCGATAAGTAAATATCAATCAACATTTTTTAAGGAAAAAATATGATCCGTAGTTCCATAACCATTACGAAACCCTGCCTGCTCCTCAATTAATAGGCCAGACTCTTCCAAAAAAATATTTATTCTAGAATTTAAAACTGATGTGAACAATTTACCAAGACAACTTAAAATGGTTATACCTCTATAATTATCAGCATTATTTTCGTCCCCTTTGTTTTTATAAATAGGTAAAATTATACCCGTACACCATGTATCTGGAACAATTCCTGTTTCAAGTACAAGATTAAATAAGCTGCAATACAATGGTAATAACAAATCTTTTGAGTATTTTATATACTCATTCAGTATATTATCTTTAGGTGAACATGCTTTGTTATTTTTTAAAGTTTTAATAACTTTGTCAATTTCTAAAGTAGTAAATGGGCGATTTAATATATCATTAAATTCTGAAACTGATTCAATATCAAATGCTGTAAATAAATCTTCAGAATCATCATCACTATTTATATTACGAAAATGATCATGAAATGCTTCTAACGAAACCTTGTTCATTACCTCTTTCCGTTCTCCCGAATATTTATTGAGAAGACACCAGTACTCCTTTGGTTTTGTACATCTTAGACTTTTTAATTTTTTAACAATACTTTCTTGGTAATTCCTAAGTTTAGTATTTAATAATTTCTTGTACTTCTTACTACAAGTTTTCAGATTTAATAAGTTATCTTGCGTGCGAAAAGATCTGTAATTACGCTTAGAAAGATAATACTCCTTCTGACTATCCCTACATTCTAAGTCAAACCACTGATTATTAGACTTTTTTGAGGAGTTAGCCTTTCTCTGTACAATTTTTACTAAATTACATTTTTCAGCAGCAGAAGTAAGTATCTCACCAGTTTCAATTGTGACTTTGTTAATAAAGTCAAGTGAACATGTACCTTCACTACTATGGGTAGCAATTGATGAACAAATAATATTAACAGTTTCACAATCAATACAATTCAGAAACTCATCTGAACTTTCAGAATTCCAAAATGGTTTAACTACATCATTTACAGTATCACGTGACCGATCACTATCCAATGTACAAGACACAGTCTGATTTATACCAGAATCTAATGCAAAAGACACTGCACAATGTACATCAGACAATAACGGGTCAAATGGTAAAATTTCAAAGCATTTAACATGAGGAAATAGTTCTGGTGAAAGTAAGACATAGTCGATTACACTAACACCCTTGCATGTTGTTTCACCAATGTAAGCATCTTTACCCAATCTACCATTGGCTATGTGAACATCTGTAGACTTACAAAAATCAATAAGTCTGCGGCCAAAATTATTACAAAATTTGTCTTCAGAGAATCTTTCTGTAGGAATACCCAGAGTATCAAGATTATTTCTATTTAACAAATCTTTGGTTTCATAATCAAACAAATAATCTGAAATGTACCTATCAATTACAGTAAAATCTGGAAGAGTACCAGTTCTTGCATTTAGATCCCCAAGCATGCATACAGAAAATTCTTTAGTTTGAAAGTCAATAATATCTGCCTCAATCCTATCAAAAATATCAATATTTGAATAGGTGGACCCTTCAGGAGGGATATAAATTGCTCCAAAGATACATTTCATATTAATGACACTTTCATCAATTTGAAACCAAATACAATTTTCAAAAGAATTATCAAAAAACTTAACTTTATCAAAAATGTCTTTTTTTAATAGAACTCCAATACCTCCAGATTTTTTTGAACAAAATTTCCTACTTAACCCATAAAATTTATGGTTTTTCAGTAAAATACTGTCATACTCATCTAACTTAGTTTCTAACAAACAAATAACATCATATCCCTGTATGAATTCTTCAAATTCTGGAAAATTAAGTTTAGAATAAAGTCCACAAATATTTAAAGTAACAAATTTTAACTTATGAACATTAATTGAAGCATAGATATGGTCAAAAGTATCAGTTTCAATAGAATGCTTCTTAGTAGTTTTCTCAATTAAACTGTCATCCTCCTCCTCCTATTCAAGTGACTCTAGTCCGAGATCCTTCAGGTTAATGTCAATGTCCAATGCATGAAAATCATCGGGGGATGTAACTGAGAATTGTCGTTTTTCCTTTGTACAAAACAGTACCCCATCTCGCGAATACACATTGGAAACACCAGGAGTGTCCTTCAGCACTGATTTCATTCTCACCCTTAGTTGCGTTAGGTCATCCGAGATAAAAATATGCTTGTATTCCTCAAGTGACGCTAGAGTTTTCTTTGACCTAAGTACTTGTAGAACATGATACCTCGAGACGAAACGAACAATAACTTGTCTGGCTTGGCCGTTAGATTTCTTCTTTCCGATTCTAGGACAGGCACTAAGGTGACTTTCATTTAACATGATACTCCTAGGTGAATCATTACTAGTGACTGTATGAGACTGGCTATCTCCATTTACCACTGACATCCCATTGCGTTGTAACATACAATTTAAAAGTTGCAAAACATCCGCAACAAGCATAGCATCATCGCCTTCCTTCAAACCATGAATACGTATATTTTCCCGTCTGGTGTACTGTTCTAGATTATCCATCTGATATCTTTGAACACGTACAATACATTTAGTCTTTTCAAATTCCTGTTTGGAGATACAGTTTGACAAGGTACCTTCAAGATTGTCGATTTTCTCCTCCAATGCCTCAAATTTATCGTGCAGAATGTCAGAAACAGCTTGTGCTATCTCTTCTACTTCCTTTCTGGGTTTATTTGTGCTCACAGTCTTGCCCCTTTGGCCTGCCATGACCAGAAATTTACTGTATAGCTTATTTTTACTTGTCACGAAAACGTGTTACAAAAAATTTCACCCGGTGCAAAGGTAAAATATCACTAGATAAACAAGTCCGCTGATATTTTAAGACAGTTTTCACACGTTTGCAGATAAAATAAAAACTTTATATGTCACTTATAATGTTCTTCGACTGTAAATCAGTAACTTAGCAAACTATGAATCACTTTCAGACTACAATATTTAAATAAAATCGTAAAAGTAATTTCTCTGACGTCATTTAGTTTATTGACGTGATATATGACGTCATATGACGTGTAAGTATTCGTTTTGAAATGTTATGCTAAAAGCATTGTTACATGGTATCAAACACTTTGATGGTAAATGATGGATGGATTTGTTCATGATTAATTGATAATAGGTGATGACGTTGTATAAAAATGCAGTCTTACAAAATAGTTCGGATTTGCTTACGACTAATTAAGCTCAATAAGGAGAACATTGGATTTGTAATAGGAGGATGGTTGACCAGGTGTAGATCTAATATCTTCTTGGCAAATGATCTTGGATATTAAGTATAATGGTCATTTGTCTTTCAGCGCTGATGGGATAAATAGTCGGTCACATGCAGTGAAATCGGTAATTTCTGGTTCGCTATTTCCCAGAGCACACGATCACCTAGATATGACCAAATATACATTAAATCGGCGTCAAAACAGAAAAAAAAAACTATTTTATTAGTGATAAAAACGATTTGTCGCTATATCACTATTAAAGTTCATTTTTACAACCGTGTAATTCTATTTTGTTAATATATTTCTCCTTCTTTTCATAATATGTTAATGAATGTTTTATGTTTATTGCAAGCTGGTTTTTGGTCGATGAAAACTTACATTGGTGTGATGGTCCTCGCCTTCTTGCTATTGCTCCTGCTGTGTATCGTCATCGTTATCATAATTAAAAATAGATGGTGAGTACGGATAATCAGAACATAACAGAACATTATTTTATTTTGACTTGTACATAGTACATAATCATAATCATACAAAGTGTGATAATACATTGCAATACATTACAATACATTTTCAATACTAATTTTCAATGCATTAAAACAAACTTTAAAGACAATGCCACGTTACTTTAGTAATTATTCTAGAATGTTATTTCAAATTAACAAAAATTTATATTATAGTGTTGTCAGTTGAGGATAAACTGTTTTAAACATAATTAAATATATAGAGGATATTCAAGTTTTGTCTATAAATACATGATTTATTTTCATCGAGTGGTATGAAAATAAATATTTCATGAGTGGCGGTAGCCACGAGTGAAATATGGTAATTTTCATGCCACAAGATGAAAATAAATCATGTATTTATAGAAAAAACTTGAATTTTCTGTTTATTATATATACATTTTTCTCTTTTTTGACATAAAAATTTGAAAGACTTTCCCTTAAATTTTGTGTACTGGCAGAATTTAAAAGAAAGTAGTCCGGCAAGACACCAGTGAAAATACGGAAAATACGTTTCACTGCAGTGAAAAATAAATTTTTACAGTGAAAATACGGAAAATGAAAATACGCATTTTATTTTATCAATATTTCTCAATATTTCATTTGTAAGTATATAATAAACATGTTTACATAGCAGAAATATCTTCAGAAAAAATCTATACATAAAAATGTTGAATGGAATTTATATATTCTTTAATAAAGACATAGATATTCATAAATCAAAATTATCTGACAGAATTAACAAAAGTATTTCTGTAATTTAATGACTCTTTTATATATTTTGCCAGATTAAATAATATACTATTTTGATTGTTACATAGAAGTTCAATAAACTTTATCATGGAAGGCCTTTTATAGTAGTATTTTTTTAATAAACTTTTTTCTAATTTCTAAGAAACATGGGCATATCAATATGAAATGGTATTCGTCCTCTATATCAACATTGTTACAGCAAAGACAATATATTTCATTACGTGGCAATCTATTTTGACTATACCTTCCAGTTTGAATTCTCAGTGAATGAGCTGACATTCTCATTCTTGTAATAAAAAATCTACTGTATAGTGTTTTGGTAAAATATCTAATTAATTTTCACATAATAGTGTTGTTTTACAACTTTTATAAAAATCCAATACTAAACTGTTTTCAATCGCTGTATTCCATTCTTGTCTATAATTATCCAACAGTCTTTGATTAAACAATCTTGGAAAAAATTTACAATCAACTTTATTAATATTAACAAAATAATCGGAAAACCCATACATATCAAGCATATTCTTAACATCAGTAACCCAATTATTATAACCTTTATGACAATCGTATAAACATTGTTCATAAAACTTCTGCAAGACAATATTATCTGTAATTACCAATCTACACCAAATTTTATAATTCTAACATATCTATTTATGAAAAGAGGATATCTACCTAAATCTCCGTATACGCTTGTGTAACATGTGTTTTGTCTAACATTTAAAATTCTTTTACAAAATTTCATGTGTATACGTTCTATGTCTTTGGACTTATTATAGCCCCAAATCTCTGAAGAGTATGATAAAATTGATCCAACAAATGCATCAAAAAGCTGACACAATAATATGATAATCCATATAACTGTCATATTTGCGACAGTAGCGATATCTATATACTATAAATATAGTTTCCAAATGGTTAAAGCAACTTTAAAGTATGTATTCTTTATGATGACATCCTATGCTTAGGAATAATGGAAGGAATAATGAAATTTTATTTAATATTGTACATTATCATAGCAGAATACTTATAAAAGCATTTAATCATTCAACCATTTTCTAATTATAGCAAGAAAAGGAAGAAGGTTCGTCCGAGAAGAAACGAAGAGAAAAGAAAAGTCATCCACATCAAGGAACGTGTGTCGATATATGAATAGATTAGCTGTTTACGTTTTAAAACAAAAAAAAAACATACATTATTTTTCAGTTGTGAAATGTCATATGATATAACTATATACGTACATTTGTTAATACTCCAATTTCGTTGGAAAAACAACGCATTTGTCATTTAAAATTAACTCACGTGTGTTTTATTTGATTAATAAGATTTGTAAATATTTAACAACAAGAATATCGCTGATCGTGCCGGATGCCGTCCGAATCTGTACATTTGTTAATGTTTTCCAATGCACATCGGTCAATAAATAATAGTAAGAGCAAAAGGGTAAAACTCTTTGGCAAGTAAACTTAACTTAGAGGAAAACTAAAAGTTTTGAATAAAGGCTTTCAGTGCAAAAGTGTATTGTCTATATTTTCAGTATCTTAACTTTGACCTTGACCCAAGTAATTGCTTAAAGGACAAGACAACCCCCATATAATTACATACCAATGAACATTATCAGTCGATAAACAAAAGCTGTATAAGCAAATCTTTTTTAAGCAAAGGTGACTTTGATTTTGTTTGATTTTGAACAAAATGACACTTTACTAAAGACCATCAAAATTATGTTCCAACCAAATATGAAACACATCAGGCAATGAATAATGACTATATAAACAAAACTCTAGCATCATGAGGTATACAATGGGAGGTATCGCAGTTATCAAGGTTCTGTCACTATTCTTTATATCTGTAAAGTTTCTATAAGATATTTTTAATGTTTAGAAGAAGTTTTTGGTCCCAATGATCTCTATTATTATGTGAAATTCAAATGAGGATAGTTTAGAAGTTATGCTCTGGGCACATATTATAATTCAAAGGGAGAACATTCCAAAGTTAAGCAAGGTAAAGTTATTGCTCATAGATATGGTACTTTCTGTCATTGGTCTTTTTCACTGTGTAAAGTTTTAGTTTAATTAAATACCTTGAAATATATTAAGCTATTTTCCGAGCAAGAGTGTGACGGATGGACAGAACGACCTACAAGGCAGTATCAATATGCTCTATCTTCAAGGAGTTATCAGCCTTAGGTATATATATATATACCAACACTAGAGCCATCATTGACAAAAACTGGCCAATTATTGAGTCTTCGAAGAAACTGAACAAGATATTCCCCACTAAACCAATCATTGCATATAGGAGACCCAAAAGCCTCCGAGACATACTTGTTCGAGCCAAACTGAGATCAATAATGACAAATGATAAAGATGGTCAGTCTGGACCATGTGGCACACCAAGATGCCAAACATGTGCTGTCATGCACCTCACAAATACATTTTCTTGAAGATTAGGGGCCAAAACATCTGTCAAAGACATTATGAACTGTAAAACAGCAAATATTATTTATCTTATGACAAAAACAATATGTCGCCGAAACTATAATTCCATTAAGTAAATGAATGAACTTACATCGCTCCGACTGGAGAACACGCAAATTTAACAGTTCCCCAGTCGCTAAACATTTTCACCTTGAGGGACACACTTTTAAAGATCTGTCCCTCTGTTGCATTAAACACAATCCATAGTGGTCAGATGTAACACGCTAATCTCGTGAGACATACTGGATTTGCCGTCTTAATACGTTTGAACCATCAGGAATCAATACAAGAGACTATCATAAATCCTCGCCCATATCTGAGAAATTGCTTTTAACCTTTGTGACCCAGTTGCCTTTTCCCTATGGTTTGACTAAAAACAAAACTTGAGGGTTGCTGGTTCGTATTTGTAGTAGACATTAATATATCATACACAGTTCATCAGATCACATGATTTCAATCACATCAAAACACATAATTATAGCATAGCACACATATAGCATATCATAGCATGGCAATATCTTGTCATATCAACGAGCCCTAAAAATATACATATTAAGCATTCCTTATAATCATGAAATATATGAAACAAACACCTATATAATATCTTTAAATATAACAAATCCATTATATCAAAAGATCAGTCCATATGAATATTCTAAGAATGTACCTTTTCTAAATATATCATTCATACACAAAATACATATCTGAATATATTAACGTCCTATTGAACTTGCATCTAGTAACAACTTAACCAGTAATTAATAAAACAATATGCAATGTATCATTACATTCAAATATACATGTAGTTACAAAATATATAATCAATTACATACAAACAAAACATACCAATTGTGGATCAAACTCCTGCTACATCACAACTGTCTGTTTCTCAGTGTTGTTAATTATGCTGTATAACTGCAATGTATAACCACTAATGCAATACAAATAGAAACAGTGAATTCTATGAATTCCTGTAAGACAAGAATGTACGCTGTCATCTTGAATTCTAACACTCAAGAATATTACTAATTGATCAAAATAACTTTTATTAAAACCAATTAAGAAAAGTCTTAATTTAGTTGACATTAGAACTTTTAAGAACAAAGAAATAAAACATACCAACACCAAATTCCTCAAACCTAAATATTTAAATAATAATCCCTAATTCAGAAAACACAATCATCTACATGTCACCATGACCAACAACGTTTTTTATATAAACAACAAGCAAAAAATCTGGAAACAAAGTGATCCCTCTGAAGCATTAATCACAAATTACATTACATGAAAATTGCAGACTCGGTTTGATCGAGTCTGTACATGAGGGATAATGAATAAGTGCAACATCCCCCACGCCCTTAGCACTGGCTTAAGCGGTACCCAATTCTCAACACTTAAAAGGGCTGGCATCAATGGTCCCGAAGGACCAGAAAATATAAGAACACTGAATTGAAACTCAGGGCAACTTTTTACAGCTGCCACACGGCACTTGACACCTGCAGTTGTGAAGTATAAAATTTTTGAAACATAGTGATCCCATGGGAGCATTAATCACGACTGATACTCTGGAGGAGATTGTTGAGTTCTCAAAGTTGTCTTCAGTTAAACTTTTTGTATGGCGCAATAGGTTTCGATTGTATTGACGAAATATAAGAGTTAAGATTACAAACAATTTACTATTGTTAACAAAAACAAACAACAATTTTTATACTGGGAGCTTTTCAGTTATTGTCATTTGTATTTAATTTCTACTTTATAAAACATCCTACTTGATGAAAATTGCAATTTCTGACATTATATTTTTAGTAAATAAACACAAAATAGATCTACCTTTATACATATAGTTTTAATTTTTTGTTAAAAAAAATAAAAATTCCCTAAGATTCGATATCATATTTACGTTACAACACATTGTCCGCGGGCAATTGTTCATTCAATAACGGTCTTTTCATAATCCATGCAATTTTATCATCTTTATAGCGACTATGTTTCAGTTCAAATTGATACTATACAGTACACAGGTATTGAGATTTTGTGCTGTATTGTGTGCATACTCATATATGTAATACACCCCTGATGAAGACAGTACTAGGGTATTTATACTTTAGCACTGTATGAACGTTTATTTTCTCCCAATTTATACGTTCTTTATATATATAACAAGAAAAAATGTGGAAACAAAGTGATCCCTCGGAAGCATTAATCAAAACAAAATAACATTTAAATTGCAGCTCAAACAACTTGCCCCTCACCGCTGTGGGTTCGAATCCCGACAGGGACTTTGGATTCTTTCATGTGAGGAAGCTATCCAGCTAGCTTGCGGAACGTCGGTGCTTCTACTCAGGTGCCCGTTCGTGCCTGAAATAATGCACGGAAGGGCACCTGAGGTCTTCCTCCACCAGTAAAGCTGGAACGTCGATATGACCTATACTGTGTCGATGTGACGTAAAACCCAATGAAAAAAAAATAAATAAAATTGCAGCTCTGTTTGATTGAGTCTGTACATGAGGGATAATGGATAAGTGCAATATCCATCATGCCCCTAGCACTGGCTTGAGCGGTACTCAATTCTCAACACTTGATAGTGTTGGCATCAATGATCCCGATGAACCAAACAAATATAATAACACTGAAGTGAAGTATGAGGCAACTTTTTACAGCTGCCACACGGCACTTGACACCTGCTGTTGGGATATATATAAATATGGAAACAAAGTGATCCCTCGAAAGCATTAATCATAACAAAAGTACATGAAAATTGTAGACAGGTTGAATTGAGTCTGTACATGAGGGATAATGAATAAATGCAACGTCCCTCACGCCTCCCCTAGCACCAGCTTGAGCGGTACCGAATTCTCAACACTTAATAGTGCTGGCATCAATGATCTTGAAGGACTAGAAACATATAATAACACTGAATTTGAGTATGGGACAAGACAGTTGTGCGCTGTTAATGTGTTGTTTACTATTGTAAACAAAACTAAACAACACCAACAACATTTTTTATACTTTTATGTCCCCAGTTAACTAGAATTATGCATTTAAAAGATACAGTTGATCCTTGTTCATTGAAGAAGAAGAAGCTTTATTCTTTCACAAATATCACAATACACAATTGACAAAACCATTATAGCTCATAGTCACATTTTTGGTATATAAACATATGAATAAGTATTGGCATTAGTCAACATAGTAAACCAAGTATATGCAAAAATAGTAAGATGCAAAAATCTGAACCTACTCTTACAAGTTTTGAATACATTTTACTCGTACTTACTTCCCTTGCATTTCAAAATTTCTAATACAAAAGAATATGTCTGTGACTAGAAAAACGAATAGTTGTATTCCTAAAAATGTGTCTGCACAATAATTATCTGTTGTTTTTCATAAACGAATAATTTCTTATAACACTTTCTTAAATGATTATTAAGATAGATAGATAAATAAAAGCCAAGTATAAACATTATTTTGCATCTTATTTTCTTTTGGTATTATTTTTATAAAACAATTCTTTATTGTCTCATTCCATTTGAAGAGAAAAATGTTAGTAATATATAATATACCATTTGACGTCATATATGTTAATCGAAATCATGGCTTTAATTAAAAACCGTGATGAAATTAACAATTAAATGTTGTTATACCATTAATAAAGTTTGACACATACTTTTTGGTTGCTTTTCTGCCAGTGTGTTAGATTGAAAATATGAATATGTATCTATTTTTCTTTTTATGCGCCG